TTTTTTAAACCTTTTTTCAATTTTGTAGAGTAGCTTTGTGGTGGGGCAGCGTTGTGTAGTAGGAGCAGCAGTTGTTGTGGTGGGAGCGGCTGTTGTTGTGGTAGGAGCGGCTGTTGTTGTGGTTGGAGCAGCTGTCGTCGTTGTTTGAGCAGCAGTTGTGGTGGGAGCAGCTGTTGTTGTGGTAGGAGCAGCAGTTGTCGTGGTGGGAGTGGCTGTTGTTGTGGTAGGAGCAGCCGTTGTTGTAGAGGGAGCAGCAGTTGTTGTGGTGGGAGCAGCAGTTGTTGTGGTGGGAGCAGCAGTTGTTGTGGTAGGAGCAGCAGTTGTTGCGGTGGGAGCAGCCATTGTTGTAGTAGGAGCAGCAGTTGTAGTGGTTGGAGCGGCTGTTGTTGTGGTATGAGCGGCTGTCGTTGTGGTAGGAAAAGCTGTTGTGCTTGGAGCAGCTGTCGTCGTGGTGGTAGCAGCCGTTGTTGTAGTAGGAGAGGATGTTGTTGTGGAGGCAGCAGCTGTTGTGGTTGGAGCAGCTGTCGTCGTTGTGGGAGCAGCAGTTGTTGTGGTAGTAGCAGCTGTCATTGTGGTAGGAGCAGCAGTTGTTGTGGTAGGAGCAGCTGTCATTGTGGTGGGAGGAGCTGTTGTTGTGGTAGGAGCAGCTGTTGTGGTTGTAAGAATCATATATGCAATTATTATTCTATTTCAAGGCCACAGACCTATACTGAAACAGTTAATTTATTTATATTAACTTACCTTTTATTATGAGTAGTATCACAAATATTTCTTTAGCCCCCATTTTCAGTGTTTACCTGTGTTTTACACAACAGCAATTCATTATTTGTAATAATACAAACAGATTTTTAGTAAGAGAACTAATATGTTGTCATAAAATGAAATTGAAAAAAGCCAGTCGCATTACAGTCTTTACATTATGACATTATGACAGTGATTTAAAATAGGTTTAGGGAAATTGTGCTACTGTAATTTTTTGTTTTATTTTCAAAGACTACCTTTTGTCATCAATGATAACTTCCTCTTTTTCCTATTGAATAAATGTTGTTATATTGTTTAAACTATTATTTACAAGTTTACTTGATATGTTAGATTTAGACATCTTTTATTGTCATTTTGTTTACACAGTGTATACAATACTGATTTCATTTAACACAGGTTTTCAGATACTAAATGAACATTTCCATTCCATAAGGTGCAGCAGTGATTAAATGTAAACATTGTGGGGGAAAAATAAATGGTGCAAAAAAATTTTGCTAGTCATTGCACTCCTCTCTCACTACTTTTTGGGGCATGTTTAATCAAAGATGTCATAAAACTTGCAAATATTAATGGTTGACACAAAGTATGCAATACATCAAAGTGGACCTGAATAATCAGACCCCACAAGGGAAATTACATTACACAAAAAAGTGCTTAAAACCTGCCTCATGGTTATCTAAAATGATTAAGGTATTATAGATTTTTAAAAGATATTACGAATACTTTCTAGTTATGTGTTTATTTCACATCCATCCATTCATTTTCTGTCACGCTTTATCCTGGGGTCACTAAAATGTAGTTCAGAGATTTATATATCAAGATGGTTAAAAGTTAGATTAGCTTAAAAATTTTGATTATTGTTATGTGCTAAGTTCTTAGGTACAATGAAATACAATCCTGGAACTTGAATAGATTGTTTTGGGTTAAATCAAGGTTTTTACGCTACATTTTTTTCTAGAGAACAATTAAATTCAACCTTAATGACTGACACAGAGAAAAGATTTAACTAGAAAGGTAGTATTAACATGAATAAAATAGGTTTAGCGCTCAGAAGCTGGCAGAAAAAAGTTGATGATGTAAATGGACATTAACTGGCATGAGTAACTAAAAAAAGGGATTAGAGTAGTCTTCACATGGGGCTGGGACAGTGGTGGTGGAATAGGCCAGAGGATTGCAGTGACAATAGCCTGAGAGTTTGGCCGGTGTACAGGAAGAAAGCTGGGCCAGAAACTAAATGAAGGAGATCTTAAAATATTATTGGCTTGGGAGGGGCGCTGTCCCCACATTGACCAGCTGGAGCTTGAACATGGCACATCTGCAGGCCCATGGCAACAAGGCAAGCAAAACCAGCAATTGCCTAGGTCCCCAAGCTGCCAGGGGGCCCACAGACAGTGGCTGACCTGGTTAAAAACTGGATCTAACTACTATCAGTATGAGCACCAAAGTTCCCTTAAACCGGCATGGTTGCGCAACTTATTTTTACTGTAAATGTGCCATACTACATAAAAAATTGTAGTAATAAAACTGAAAAGGTAATGCATTTATCATTATTTTGTTTTGTTTGGGTGCTTATAGCATGTCAGCCTGTTGGACACTGGATGTGCAAGCTGGTTTTATTGATTAAACAGAATTTAACTGCTCTGGTGTAATATCTGTCGACTTTTAAATGCCAGTATTGTATATCCCTACCAAATCAGTTTTAGAATAAAGAATAATGTATTAAAGAATTGGGTTTGAATTAATATTTTTTATTAGAACTTCAGTGTCCTTTAAAAAAAGTTCAGCAATGTCCTTCTTAATCACATCAAAGAGCTACTGGGGCATGAATGAATAATCCCACAGGAAGAAAACTATCAAGCAGCCCAAATTATTTCATATTCAGAACAATTCCAGAACAATGAAACTCACAGGATTTAAAAACAGCTCTGCTATTCAACAGCCACAAATAGTTTTGCAACAATAATTCTTTTGAGAAAAGCAAAGAATGTAGAAGGATTTTTATGTGCAATTTGTAGAACAGAATTTGTGTACTTGTACAGTACTATATTTGAATGGGTGTAAGAAATTTTTTTTACTTTCATTCCAAGAATACAAAACTTAGACTGTAACTCTCTCTACAGCTTCAAATTCACACTTACAATGCACAAATAGTTTTAAAACAAACTAACCTTCATAAGAACCACCCTGAATGGCTAACTGAAGGGCGCACAATCCTGATGCTGAAGAATCCCTTAAAGGTCCCATCCAACTACTGGCCAATAACCTGCCTCTCCACAAGTGGAAACTAATGTACGGGATCATAGTGGCTAAGATAAGTGGGCATATGGATCAATACATGAGCATGAGCACCAGAGCAATAGAGGCCCAGATCTACCACACCAGGTGCAGGAAACCCCAGGTGCAGACTGTGCAAAGAGGCCCCTGAGACAATCTAGCACATTACTGCAGGGTTTAAGATACTAGCAGGGAAAGCCTACATGGAGCGCCATACCCAAGTGGCTGAAATAGTGTCCAGGAACATCTGTACAGAGTATGGGCTGGAAACCCCAAAGTCAAAATGGGAAACACCCCAAATGATGGTAGAGAATGACCGAGCCAAGATACTGTGGGACTTCCAGATACAGATGGACAGAATGGCAATGGCAAACCAACCGGAAATTGTGATGGTGGACAAAATGCAGAGGAAAGCTGTTGTGGTTGACATAGCAATACCAAGTGACTGCAACATCAGGAAAAAGGAACATGAGAAACTGGAGAAACACTAGGGTCTCAGAGAAGAGCTGGAGAACACCTGGAAGGTCAAGGCATCAGTAGTACCCGTGGTAATTGGGGCACTCTGGGCAGTGACCCCTAAACTTGAGGAGTGGTCTCAGCAGTTCCAAGGAAATACATCAGACATCTCGGTCCAGAAAAGTGCAATTCTAGGAACTGCAAAGATACTGCGCAGAACCTTCAAGCTCCCAAGCCTCTGGTAGAGAACCCGAGCTTGGAGGAAAAAAAGGAGGGAGAGCGCCTGTGTGTATTCCAAACAATCCATTCTGATAATGTTGTAGTGTTTTTCTTGGCTGCTTGGTTTCCATTAGATGTAAGTGGTTGTTATATCTTATGCCCAATCATATTTCAGCCTTTGTGTGTGTCGCTATGTCAATCAAATCTGCCTAGGGCCTTCAGAATCAGCAGTGCTGGCTGATGACCTAACAATATTAGTGAGGAACGTTTTCAGATTTGACCCACTGAGCCAGCAAGCAGGGCCACGTGATTGATAATTTTCCCTTAAGACCTTGAAGTCACAAGGTTGGGGCTTTTTTTTTAAAGCCTTGGCACAGTGCTTATTTTTAGTTTTGAGTAACTGTCGTCACTGTGTTTCCTTTTCAAAACGATGCACAGTCAACCTTGTTTTTATTGTAAAAAAGAAATATTTTTTTTAGGTAGTAATTAGGTAGAAATTTAATTATACAGTGAGACATAAATGAATAAATCTCTTTTAATTAGCTTCTTTATTTATTCGCCTTTGTTATAATTACCTTATTTATTTATTGTTTATTATAATCTTCAACTTTATTTACTTATTTCTTATTTTTTTAAGTATTTATTAATGTGCATGTAATAATATTTTTGTCTGTTTTATTCTTCCATGGTATTTTTCTACCCTATTTATTTCTTCAACACCATTTGTTTCTGCCTGGCATATTAGCATTTCTGTATGCATTTCTGCCTCAATATGCAAATGAGGAAGGGGTGTGTCTTAAGGGTTCAACTTCTGCCCATTGGTTGGTTAGCATTTTACGGCATCAGTCGAATCTACAGGAGTGGAGGAGCGGAGAGTCTGAAGTTGAGTCTGATGTCAGTGGCTGTTTCTCAATTCATAAGAACGGGAGTACGGACTCGTGTTCTTGCCAAGTATGTTCTTGAGTAGAACCCAGGAAAGTCTGGACATGGGGAGAACGGGAGCACGCTGCATAAATATGGGTCAATTGGAACAGAAGCGTACCCAGTGGCGGCCGGCCCATAGGGGGCGCTGGGGCACCGCCCTCCCTGATAAGAAGAGAGAAACGTAAAATATATTTTTAGAAATTAACTCATAAATGTCAGTTTTACTCTCTAGACTGTGTAACTATAAGCAAAACAAATTATATAAACTACATTTCCCTATCTACTGTCATTAATTTGTGGATTTCCACAGACAGACTCCTACCGTCTCTGTTCTGGGGGCTGTGATCAGACTGACCCACATTTGCAGAGAATCTGTCAATCATGTACTATTGCTAGGTGAATTTAATGGCCAATCAGCGTCTCGGAACTTTATGGTATTGGGGCGCTGAAAATACTGCGCTTTTACAGGCTTCTGAACCCAAGCGCAGGTGCAGACAATTAGAGGGAAGATGGCGAATGTAACGAGCGAGATGCAGCTTCCACCAAATTCGGTGAGATCCTTATTTATCTACCCGTTTGCCAGAAGAACATCCCTGTTGTATGATATGAACATTTCATTTCATGGTTATTGTGACTGTGACGAATCCACCTCGTCGCTTAAAACAACCTCTCTAACTTTGCGCGCCACACACACATTCCTGTTATACTGTGTTTGTGAGGACCAATACACTCGCGCTGAGACCAGTAGCTCTATTAACTTAAAACACACAAGCTGTCCTGGTTAGCTGCTGGCATATTGAGGGTGCACACTTAATATTTCAGTGGGGTTAGCCGTGTGTGTGTGTGTGTGTGTGTGTGTGTGGGTATGTGGGGGGTGTGGGTGTGTACGTGTTTATGCGGGGACTTGTCATCTTCAGTCTGGCTGCGTCTTTGCTGGGTTCAAACCCAGTTTGGTGTAATTGAATAAGTCAATGAAAAAAGAATTGTGTAAAAGAATTGTGTAAAAGAATTAAGTTGTAAAAATTATTTGTTTTTGTACATCAATTGTTTGTGGAGGTAATATATGGACAAAACTGATTAATGAGAAGAAATCAGAAATAAGAGAGCCTGAGGTGAGGGGCTTAAACTATTTAATGAGGGCTGTGGGAAGAAAAGCGGCAATTTTTGTTTTCTGTTTCTTTGTTACATTGCTGGTAACTGGAGGGAGGCTGAGGCCCAGACTATCTTGTATATGTTTAGTTTCTTTTGCACCCTGTTTTGAGTTTTTGAGCTCAATAAATCACCAACACCGGTATCCCGACTGAGACTGGATTCTTGGAGGCCAAAGAACCCCGTCACAGTGACCCAAATCATCACTGTTACTGTTATTATATAGTAAATTAAATCATTACTGTTAAATTGTATGTATTGTCCAATTGTTTATTTGAATTCTTATTCCGGGTTAGTTGGAGACATACACTAGGCTATATCAGCCCCACCAAAAATATTTTTCACCAGCCGCCACTGAGCGTACCCATGATGTCACCACATGCTTGGTTCATCTGAAGCTGCTTTTCTTCTCCTGTTATTAATAGTCTCTTGATAATAATAAATTCAGACTTTTTTCATTTAGTGGGGGAATGATAATTAATTAAATAATAATTATAATCAGATAAAGACAAATCAAATGAACATTTTGCCAAATAAAAAATCGCCATCATAGCCAGTGGTCCTTCACACACAGCTATGAGTAGAGAGGGCCGCTGCAGACGGGCCTCTGTTAGCACTGTCTGCCTTTACCCTTGGAGCTCAGCTGGTCGCCGCGGTCCTCTAAACTTTAGAATTTTTTTTTTTTTAATTACGCATGAAATCCGTAAATGGGCCATATAGTGGGCCGTAATGGGCCTTAAGAGACACCCCTCAACATTTGCTTAATGAGGCAGAAATGCAAACAGAAATGTATATACTACAGGCAGAAATAAAGAGCATGCAAGAAATAAATAGGGTAAAAAATACAAATAATACAGACAAAAATATTATCACATGCACATAAATACTTAAAAAAAGTAGTAATAACTAAAGTTGAAGATCATAAAGCACAATAAATAGATAAGGTTATTATTACAAAGGCGAAAAAAGAAAGAAGCTAAATAAAAAAGATATAAACATTTATGTCTCACTGTATAATTTAATTTCTACCTGTATTTATTTATTTATTGTATTTATTTGGAGGGCAATTAATTGTATGCTTATTCATTTTTGAAGCATTTATTTATTTCTGTGTTTATTTTTAATTATGGCAGGATTGGTCTTCCATAACCAGCGCGTCCTGCATGCAGTCCCGCGGAGTGCGCGCGCGCGTTTCTCTCTTTACATTTGAACCTAACGATTCCTACATTTCTCATCACAAGTGTTTTTATTACCAATTTATTTTTTATTTATTTACCAAAACTCATAAGGCATCGTAGTTTCCCTTCTGGCTTCACAAAAACTAAATTTAGATGTGCGCCTTTCTTCTCCCACCGCACAACTTAATGACGCAGAGGGGATGGCTGAGACAACTGCGGGTCCTTAAGACGGACTATTCTGAGCTGTATGTAACAGCCGGTTATCGCCCGATGAGCCTTGTCAGCTATTTGTCTCTTTAAAAAAAGTTTGGTGTAAACACCCGCCGACCACTGTAGTGAGACATGCCGTAAACGGTAATAAAAGTTATGCTGTGCGCGCACCTGTTCGTGGACCCTAATCATAGGAGTTGTTAATTAACCCATGGATATGGTGCCCCTAAATTAAATCAGCGCTCCTCTTGTTATGATCGCAGCTCTACTCACTTCATTCACCTGCCGTTGCCTCCCTGTTGGAATGTTCTAAAAGCAATTTAGCTTTCTTCTTTGTTTGTCCGGTATTTGGCAAAACTCCGATGTCAAAAAATGTAGAAAATGTATGCAGAAAGCTGTGAAATTGATCATACCTGCCCAATAGGTCTCTAGGTGCTCAGCAGCCCCAAACCTGTGATCCTACAATTGCCCCTGCTAAAGGTTATGTGATATTAAGATTAGTATGATGAATTACAATAGATTTTATAAATTGTTCTGTCCAATTTGTTTTAAGCTCAAATCAACATATTAGTAAATTTAATGTTTATTTAATCTAAATAAAAGTCATTTTGTTAGTTACATTTATTAATAATTTAAGTAGACTACTAAATAGCCAACTCAAGGTTTAATGTTTTTTCTGGTTGTCAACTAACCTTTTCAATGTAAAATATTTTTTAATTTTTTTATTTATCTTTTTCTTATCTATCTATCTATCTATCTATCTATCTATCTATCTATCTATCTATCTATCTATCTATCTATCTATCTATCTATCTATCTATCTATCTATCTATCTATCTATCTATCTATCTATCTATCTATCTATCTATCTATCTATCTACTTATCAATCGATAGATAGATAGATATAGATAAATAGATATAATATCATAGTTGTTTGACTGGTTTCCAAGCTACTCTTTATTTTTAGTGGTGTTTTAAACATAAGGAAATACTAGGTTGAGTTTTGGAGTATAGTGTTAGAAATGTACTTACCCAAAGTGGCAGCTCTTTTCAAAAGTTTCATAAACCTCTTCTGATCCTGCTCAAACTGATGGTTAACCACTCGGTTCCTAAGCCTTATATATTACCTTAGTATCAGAAGTATGACACAGCTGTAAAAAATTACTTTGAACACCTAAGGTATGAAAGCAACTCCCCGGGAAGCTGTAATTCCTAACTTAGTTCACATTCCTATTGTCTAAGTGAACAAACCAGATGTCATTATCAGTCCCATTTATGAAACTCTTGCAAACCTTTGAATGCAAAAATGTTTCATAGCTCAAATTTTTATTGTTATTTAATGACATCAGTATAAATGCAGGCTGTGGAAGAACCACGGTTCTTGTATTATTTGACCTCAGTGAAGCTTGTAACACTGTTGATCACTCTGTTTATTTTATTAGAACCCCTTTGTTTAAATCCTAGTTCAAGGACAAGGTCATTTTTTTTGTCAGTAAGTAACTTTTTAATAGAGACCACAAAAATCACATGTGGCGTTCCCCAAGGGTCCATCTTAAGCCATCTTCTATTCAATAGCTACAGACCTTCCCTAATCTCAGATTATAATAAAGCCCAACTTAAGTTAACATAAGTATACAGATGACACACAGCTTTACATTATGATTTTGACCAACTATGAACATATTCCTGTACTCCAATGCCACTGCAATGTACTTTTCCTAATATTGTAGTTTCTTTCAGCACTTGTTCAGCACTTTCAGTTTTTGCTGCTGGTTTCAAATAAATTTCCCACACACTTTATCTCTCTCCCAATTAATGTAACATTTCGGTTATACCGACCAAAACGTTTTGGTCGTTTTGACCGAAAAGATGCATACATTTTTTTAACAGTTAGACTACAATGCCTTAAAATATACCTTAAGTAGAGAATAAAGAGCTTGGAGAATGGAAAGGAGTCATTGCAAAGTAAAATGTTGGTACCAAATGTCAATAAAAAAGATGGTATATTATGGTATATTTCTAAACATTTAAGGTATATTACATTTCCATATGCATCGACCTCCCTAATGTAACAAAAAAGACAGCAATTAAGACACTTTAGAGTAAAAGCATCTACACACTAAATGTACAAATGTACAGACATATATAAGGCATTCGTTATTTAAAATATCTAATTATTTAATTAATTTGTAATTTTTTTGCTTCGGTTGTGTAACAATATAGAAATTGTTTTTGGGAGATGTCCGGTTTCAAAGTAGGTCACACCACATATTCAATTCAGTTTTTTTTATAGCAAACATCAAGTCATCTAAAGGCACTTCACAGAGACAATGCTGTGATTGATTGCATCCAGTCATTGATTTGCAAGACATGCCCCCCCCCCCTCGAAGCAGTTCCCATAGACATGCAGGAAGTATTATTGCAAAAGTACACTGCTGTGCTTACTTAACCTTCATAAGTTGCTTGTGACATAAGTCCATACATTTTTCAGTCGATCACTGTTTTTATAGTGGTTAAAGACAATATTACCAATTCAATCAAGTATGAAAAGCTCTTATATGCTACTGGTTTATCATTATGTATATCTGCATAAAATATTCTCTCACATTTTTTAATATATAATACAGTCAATTGGAGATCATAGGATTTTAACATTTTAATAGGTATCTGAACAAATTTTTCCAGTTAAGTCTCTTAATACGCGTTTTTAGATCATTTGTAAGGTGGTATAAACATACGTGAAGATGAAGGAACAAGACCAGTGGACAAGAATTTAGCCACTTTATGGCATTTAAAGTAAGTTTATAAGATTTTAGAGTAATTACTCATAATTTTAAACCTATTCTTGTGCAATATGTATAAAGGTTACATATATATTTAAAGTATATTGATATATTCTATCTAACCCATAACTTATTGAAAATATCTTCTGGCCTGAAGTAATTTTGAAATATCTGCTCTTTGTATCATTTGCAGGATGCACAGACCAAAACAGCTCAGCCTAGACAGAAATGACTTCAGATTAGTATCTAATTTGTAAACATTATTGTAAGTCTGCCTCTTTAATTTTTAAGCAGTTTTCTTGTTCTTCCGAAGCATGTCTCAACAGTGAATTATTATTAGTGCCTTTTTAGTATGAGCTTTAAAATGTGGTTTTGAGACACAGATTGGAGATTACATAAATTTGAGGCTCTTTAAAACTAACCATGTTTTAAGGACTTATCTTAATAAACTCATTTCTTGAGATCAGCTAAACTACAGCAGCGGATTATAGATTTTTCATTTAGATCAAATTTGTTTATCTCTAAAAGGGCCAAATTATCATAATTTAAGATAAACTTGTACAGTTTGACAAATAATAAAGGATTGTTTGAAAAAAAAACAATCATACAATTCAGAGTAAGGAGGTGAGGTAAAGTATTTTAAAGACTGTAACTATATTGGCCTATAGTTACAGTCATAGGGAGAGAAGTAGACTAACAATGAGAACAATGATCTTTTAAAACCACTGGCCCAGGAGCCATGAGGGTAAAAAAAATCCACACACCTGCATTGAAAGATTATCAAATTTATACTGTATTACCACCCTGCCATCAGCAGGCTCCATGGTCCATGCTTTTTACCTAAAGAGTTCAGGAATAGGCACCAGCCCCCCATGACCCTGACAAATACAATCTTCCATAGGGACGGAGGATTCTTGCTGTTGAGTAGGATCCCCAGACCAGTGAAGGGTCCCTTAAAATGAAATATACACAATTCTTAATTACATCTTCTAAGAGGTAAATTGCTTGATAATGTATATTGAACCCAATCATTTTGGTAAAAAATATGCTAGTTTAGTACCTTTTCCTCAATTCGGGTTCTCTCTGCGTTGAATTCTGTAGTGTGCTAGTTCCATCTTAATTGAGATAAAAGCCCTACTTCAATGCCCGTTGATGTGGATAATTTCATGATTTAAAATTGTAAATATTTTGAGGCTCTAGACCAGAGGTAACCAATTAAAAATCAGCTGGGTGAATAAAGAAAATCAACAACCAGTAAAGGTCCAAAGACATTTTTAATTACTTTAAATACAATTTAACACTGATATAAAATAATGTTTTTATCCATCCATGTTATACATTGAATTTTTAAATAAAAAGAAAAAAAAATTGAAAATTTTCCCATTTTAAAATGAAAAGTGTTGTTTGAGTAGAGAACAACAATTGTTCAGTTTTGGTATGTCGACAATTTCCTGATTAACATATTTTATAAAACACCTGAACTGACCGTTTTTTGTTTTGTTTTTTCTTTCTTTTTTTATGGCTTAATGAGAGAGGTGGGCTTTATGCTGTATGCAAGGTTTTCAAACCTGGGTTGAATGGCGACAAAGCCATTCTCAAGCACATATCAATAGGCTCACTCGTGAACCTGGATCGATATGTATTTTTTATTATGTTCATGGTGGAGAATACTGCTTCACAGCAGTAGGTTTACTCATATTTGGGCACACCATTTCACTTTTCTGTCAACAGTTCTTCCTGCAGTCCACACTTTCTCTGCTCTCTTTTTCTCATCTTATTCTCCTTTTTCTCTGTTGTGTCTAAAAGTGGTTAGCAGCAGCAACCCAAACTGACAGCAGCTCATTGGCTAATTTGTATCAGGTTTAGCCTAGCCCCAGACGTTCTGGAGGGCTTTACCATGTTGACAGGATAAGCTAAGTAAAGTTAGACACTGTCATCGGACAGCATGTGGTGATTTATAAATGTTTTAAATCAGGTTGGATCTGGATTAGACCTCTGCTCCTGTATGATTAAATATTTGTCAACCCCTAAAAGCTCTTAATTTTGATTGCCTTGATTTTGAGCCAAATACCTGAAAAAAGGCAACAATTTCTTCTGTCATCCTCATCTGCATACAACTACCTTCTGAGATGTATTATTTTCATATTGAATTAGAGTGCTGACTAAAGTTTTCAAAGACTGTTAAGTTTTGAATGCACTTTTTACTACCAAACAAAAAAAGAAAATTGTACTTTTTAAAAAATGTATGGAAAGGTTATCAGTTTTTTACCACTGTGCCTAACAGGTACACAGTTAAACCCATTTAAAACACTAGATGGCACCATTGTTTTAAAAGATGCTAACAGGTAAGGTAAACTTTGTAGATTTAATATATTTTGAGGCTCTCAATTAAATGTGATAATGATTCATTAAAAATGCCCACATAATTGAAACCCTAAATCATAACTTTGCATCATCAAAAATATTTTATCAAAAATAAGAAACCAAAATGTAAGTAAACCAAAACGAGTTTAAGTATTCTTTACACAGTTTATTGTTAAATCATTATCAAATAGTAAATCCTTAAAATTATATATATCCTGGTTAAAAAGAAAAGGTTAACATCAACTTTATGCCTGGAGTTATAAACACTCATTTGTTTATCAAACCAAAATCTACACCAGTAAACCACAAGGGGGTGCTAAATATGTGAGAATTCTGAATTAATTAACGTGAGAATGGCCTACACTTGTGTTTCTAGGCTTTTAAAATTTTTGGTGTATTTTTGGTGTACTGGATTAAAAAAAGTTTTAATTTAGGATTTCTCTGATTGCAAAAAACAAACATACAAAAAAAAAAAAAAACAACAACTCACACCATCACCTTTAAGGTTTATTCCTCTTTTCATCAGCTTCAGATGTTCCCATTTGTTTTTAATAACTAACCTGTTGGAAATGTGGACAGCAGCTAAAATACAGCTCCTCTATGGATCATCCCTTATTCAGCCAATCTCCTCAATCTTTTTTCTAGTTTGCCATTTAGGTTTTTTTCAACTTAATTTTAGCTCAACACTCAGACTGTGAATAAACTCTATCTGAAAATTCATATACTTTGTTTAATATTACTTAGAAAAGGAAAAAAGTACAGTCTCAAACAAGACCAAATCTGACATGTTTAAGGCACAGAGGGCTGGGTGAAAATAATCTTGCTGATGGCTTTAGGTTGTAATGGAAAGTTAGCAGTTCTTGCATTAAATAAAAAAACATTCAACTTTATCTACCTCAATTTTTCTCTACCAAAAAGCTTCCATCCTATTTAAATGTCTCATTAATTTTTGTCATGAGACAATGGCATTGTAATAATTCCTCTCTCCCCTTAACTGATGGCAATTCCTTCTTTTTTACTTGCGAATGCACAACCTTTTATAAGATTGGGCTTAGAGGAAAGGCAAATTATTTAGTAAACTCCCTAATATGCTTCTCTGAATGGAAAAGCTCTATTTACAGATGCTTATTAAAACTGTGCATTTCGAATGAAAGCTCAATCTGTCTCATGTTTGTACTAAAATGCTTTTAGCATATTAACCATGGTCTTTGACAAACATATGCCAAGAGTATTTTCGATTTGACATCAATCTTTAATCCTTAACTGTAATAAGCATTTGACCCAATAAGGTCTAAAGTTGAACAATATTTCCCAAATACTCTTGGTGCTTTTTTTATGAAGAGAACTGAAATGAGAATATGTATACAGGTGCTGGTCATAAAATTAGAATATCATGAAAAAGTAGATTGATTTCAGTAATTCCATTTAAAAAGTGAAACTTGTATATTATATTCATACATTACATACAAACTCATATATTTCAGATGTTTATTTTGTTTAATTTTGATGATTACAAATGACAACAAATGAAAATCTCAAATTCATCATATCAGAAAATTAGAATATTACTGAAGACCAATAAAAACAAAGGATTTATAGAAATGTTGGCCAACTGAAAAGTATGAACATGAAAAGTATGAGCATGTACAGCACTCAGTATTTAGTTGGGCCTCCTTTGGCCTGTATTACTGCAGCAATGCGGCGTGGCATGGAGTCGATCAGTCTGTGGCACTGCTCAGGTGTTATGATAGCCCAGGTTGCTCTAATAGTGGCTTTTAGCTCTTCTGAATTGTTGGGTCTGGTGTATTGCATCTTCTTCTTCACAATACCCCATAGATTTTCTATGGGGTTAAGGTCAGGAGAGTTTGCTGGCCAATTAAGAACAGGGATACCATGGTCCTTCAACCAGGTACTGGTAGCTTTGGCACTGTGTGCAGGTGCCAAGTCCTGTTGGAAAATGAAATCTGCATCTCCAAAAAGTTGGTCAGCTGCAGGAAGCATGAAGTGCTCTAAAACTTCCTGGTATGTGGCTGTGTTGACCCTGGACCTCAGAAAACACAATAGACCAACACCAGCAGATGACATGGCACCCCAAACCATCACTGACTGTGGAAACTTTACACTGGACTTCAAGCAACGTGGATGAAGTGCCTCTCTTCTTTTCCTCCAGACTCTGGGACCTTGATTTCCAAAGGAAATGCAAAATTTACTTTCATCAGAGAACATGACTTTGGACCACTCACCAGCAGTCCAGTCCTGTTTCTCTTTAGCCCAGGCAAGACGCTTCTGACGCTGTCTGTGGTTCAAGAGTGGCTTGACACAAGGAATGCGACAGCAGAAACCCATGTCTTTCATACGTCTGTGTGTGGTGGTTCTTGAAGCACTCACTCCAGCTGCAGTCCACTCTTTGTGAATCTCCCCCACATTTTTGAATGGGTTTTGTTTCACAATCCTCTCCAGGGTGCGGTTATCTCTCTTGCTTGTACACTTTTTTCGACCACATCTTTTCCTTCCCTTCGCCTCTCTATTAATGTGCTTGGACACTGAGCTCTGTGAACAGCCAGCCTCTTTAGCGATGACCTTTTGTGTCTTGCCCTCCTTGTGCAAGGTGTCGATGGTCGTCTTTTGGACAACTGTCAAGTCAGCAGTCTTCCCCATGATTGTGTAGCCTATAGAACTAGACTGAAAGACCATTTAAAGGCTTTTGCAGGTGGTTTGAGTTAATTAGCTGATTAGAGTGTGGCACCAGGGGCCATCAATTTTGAACCTTTTCACAATATTCTAATTTTCTGATATGATGAATTTGAGATTTTCATTTGTTGTCATTTGTAATCATCAAAATTAAACAAAATAAACATCTGAAATATATGAGTTTGTATGTAATGTATGAATATAATATACAAGTTTCACTTTTTAAATGGAATTACTGAAATCAATCTACTTTTTCATGATATTCTAATTTTATGACCAGCACCTGTATCTATTTTATATCTATCTTTGTATATCTATTTTCTGAATGCAAACAAGATCTGTTTTTAATATCATGAAACCCAATTCCTTTACTGTTTTGTTTTTAATCTTTGTTTTATTGATAGTTATACAGAAAAATATAGGCATAATGTTTCACAGAATATTTTGTGATATAAATACAATTAAAGGAGAAAGAAAAAACTGGATAATCATTCAGGACGTTGTTTGGACAACATGTTTAAATAACATTGCAAAATACACTGAGAGACAAATCTTGAGTATTGCATGAACAGTCAATTAAACTGTCCTTGAGTATTACCACAATGGTTACATTCAAAGATAATAATTTATGTTATTGTTACATAATATTTAATTTTTCATTAATAAATAGGACAAAACTAACACAAACACATTTCAATAGCCTCAATTCTAATTGCACAATATTCGGATCTATGGTATCAAGTCTTAATAAAAGCTTAAAACTTTAAATTCATGATGAATTCCTGATTTCCAACTAGAACAACATCCTTGTTCATACCAGAAATAGTTAAATTTTTTTAGCATTTGCTTTCTGTGAAAACCAGCAGAGCCAATTATTACTGGCTTGACAGGAGCCATGACAGCAAGATCATGCTGAATGCAGTGATGAGGCTGATATTGTGGCTTATTCCACTTGACGTCTCTGTAAGAGTGTAAAAGGGGACAAATAGTTTTATTATTATAAACTTCCCAGTCATATTGAAAGTTTTGCAAAATATTTCTTTGTGATAGTGTAGATTGTATGTAGCTTAGCTTACGTGTGCCATCAACAGTAATGGAACTGGTGTCGATGTTGAAAGCTGTGATGGTTGAAGCTGCATTGACCAAAACCTCTGATATCTGGGTGTTATTAGGAGCTGTTGCTAATGCAAATTTCAGGTCAATATTGTTGATGATTGACCCATTACTGCAAGGATGATAAATTATCAGTTAATTTGTGCATATGTTCATTAACAATAATCAGATTTTTTTCTACAAATCCTACCTAAATGACCTCACAGTGAAGTCTCGGAATGAAGAAGAAAACTCTCGCTGATAAAGTGGTTCAAGCTGTAGAAAAAAAAGAAGAGTTTTCTATGAATAGTTTATTTGCATAATTCAAAGTGTAAACATAAGTATGTTTATATTTAAAATTCATTCACATTTAACTAGTTTATTGGTACAAGAATTCCAAAAATTCTGATCACCATTGAAACCACAAAGATGCAAAAAGCCAGAACCAGTAGTAAAGGGAAACCAACTATATCTAAACTGCTATTGCTTTAATTTTTGGCTTTCTTTGGGACTAAAGGTAGCGTAATCACATATTTTCAAATCATATGTTTTTGATTACTTAAAAGATTCAAAAGAATGGGACAGTGCCAAGCTCCTCCAGTAGCAGGTAACAGACAGAATCACAATTTTGATTTTGATGATGCATCAGAAATATACTTAGCATGCAGAACTCAACTGGCTAGGTTTTATATAAAACGGGTATCACTATCTGCTTCATCATGTTTTCTCATCCTGTAGATCTTTTTCTTTTCTTAAACATTACAGATCCTATCCTAAAAATAAAAAGTTAAATATAAAATGGTACTTTTGTCATGATCTGCCCTTATTGTTGATCTAATTACTCACTTCACGCACCTGCCGTACCCTGCTGACTTATTATCATCCATCTTTTCCCCCTGCTCCTTCTGCTTTATATACGGTTCAGCCCAGCTAATGGTACCAGATTTTTAAGTTTGTTTGTTTAAGTTTTTTTGTTTATTTGAGTTTGTTTTCCAGAGTTCAGTTCCCATTCTTGGAGGGCAATGTTAGAGAGGGTTTTTGTTGTCTTGCATTTCCTAACTGTGTCCTGACTCTTCTTCGCTGATTATCCTGTTCCTGTTTTGTCTCTGCAGGGGGGAGTTAATTCTAAGTCCTGTAGTCCTGACGCCTGGTTGGAGCCAGTTTAAAGTTATGCAGTTCTCCTGGTACAATGTCTTGTCTCTGTTCCTCTCAACCACTGAGCCCGCCTGTCTCCATCTGAGCATGTCTGCCTGAGCTCGCTGCTGGATTTCTGGAACCCTGAATCTGTCTATTCCTGTTTGGATTTGAACCCCTGGTCGGGCTACGGACTCCTGGATCTCAGAACCATCCTTGTTTAGAACTGTTTCCCTGACTCTGTCAGGAGAGGATGGACTGAACTCATAAACCAGGTAACACGGATAATCATCTTCTGTCAGTTGTCATTGTCACTTTCTTTCCTGTCTCTCTCAAAAGTGTCAGTAATGGGTTGTGCCCCGCCTCCCCCCACTGCCACTGCGTATCCACAGATCCACAGCAAATTGCTTCCTGTTTCTGTCTCTGTCTTTATTTTATGAAATGTTTTCTACATTCTGGGTTTTATGAAAACTTTTTATATTTGTAAAAGTGAAGATTGAAAGCGGAAGTAAGACTTACATTGGACTTCAAAAGTCCAGCTCTATTTTGAAATGCTGCAGATGAGGAGTCTAGCAAATCATTTGTGAAGGTCTCACCAGCAGACCTAAAAGTCAGTCGTTTTGTTACTGTTGCCTCCACAGTAGTAGCAGTTGTTGTGGTAGGAGCAGCCGTTGTTGTGGTAGGAGCAGCTGTTGTTGTGTTTGTTGTTGCGATGGTTTGCAAAGGTGTACCTGGCAAATAAAAAAGATTAAGTAGTAACAAGAGAAGTTGTTATTGTCATAAATACTATCTATACAAATAAAAAAAATGTAATCAGTGTTTAGACAAATATCGACATTTCTCTTTTTGTGTACGTATAGTGTTAGACTTCTCTTTACTTACGTGTAACATTAAAGGAGTTCGGTACAAACGATACATTGAAGGTAGTTGAGTTTATGGCCTTCACTAAAGTATTGATTACAGCATCATTGTCTGGAAGGTTTTCAATTGGTGTGGTTTCATTAAACACCAGCCCCATCTCGGCTTCAGTGTTACTCGCTCTTGTAGTGGCTGGAACAGGACTGAAATTCAAACATGATAGTGGAGCCACAAATATGATTATAAATAAGGTAAGTCATTACTAGATTGTCAACACCACACTTGTAGAAAGTAAAGAAATATGATAGAAATCTTAAATCTTACCGGAATCTAATGACAAAACTACGGATAAAGATTTCTCCATACTCTTCCTCATAGATAACGTCATACTGTAGAGCAAAAAAGAAGATAACAATTGCAAAAGTGTTTAAAATGTATTATCAATATTAATGCATTCTTAATCTCTATTGTTATATATCCATGAAGAAACATTTAAGAATGGTACTTACTGTTTCTGTGGCTCTTTTCTCAAGATTTTTAAATTCTTGGCTCTCTCTATTATTAAATGCTTCATTAAATGTTTCAACAAAAATTGCTATAACAAAGTAAGTTCTATCAGGAGCAGCAGTTGTTGTGACTGGAGCAGCTGTAGTTGTGGCTGGAGCAACTGTAGTTGTGGCTGGAGCAGCTGTAGTTGTGACTTGAGCAGCTGTAGTTGTTGCTGGGGCAGCTGTAGTTGTGGCTGGAGCACCTGTAGTTGTGACTGGAGCAGCTGTAGTTGTGGCTGGAGCAGCTGTAGTTGTGGCTGGAGCAGCTGTAGTTGTGGCTGGAGCAGCTGTAGTTGTTGCTGGGGTTGCAGTAGTTGTGGTGGGAGCAGCTGTAGTTGTGGCTGGAGCAGCTGAAGTTGTAGCTTGAGCAGTTGTAGTTGTAGCTTGAGCAGCTGTAGTTGTGACTGTTGCAGCTGTAGTTGTGACTGGAGCAGCTGTAGTTGTTGCTGGAGCACCTGTAGTTGTGGCTGGAGCAGCTGTAGTTGTTGCTGGGGTTGCAGTAGTTGTGGTGGGAGCAGCTGTTGTTTTGGCTGGAGCAGCTGTTGTTGTGGCTGGAGCACCTGTTGTGGTGATAACAGCTGTTGTGGTGAGATCAACTGTTGTTGTGGTGGGAGCAGCTGTTGTTGTGGTAGGAGCAGCAGCTGTTGTTGTGGTGGGAGCAGCTGTTGTTGTGGTGGGAGCAACTGTTGTGGTTGGAGCAGCTGTTGTTGTGGTGGGAGCAGCTGTTGTTGTGGTTGGAGCAGCTGTTGTTGTGGTGGGAGCAGCTGTTGTTGTGGTGGGAGCAGCTGTTGTGGTTGGAGCAGCAGTTGTTGTGGTGGGAGCAGCTGTTGTGGTTGGAGCAGCTGTGGTGGTGGTCGGTGCAGCTGTTGTAGTGGTGGGTGCAGCTGTTGTTGTAGGAGCAGCAGTTGTTGTGGTGGGAGCAGATGTTGTTGTGGTGGGAGCAGCTGTTGTTGTGGTAGGATCAGCTGTTGTTGTGGTGGGAGCTGCTGTTGTTGTGGTGGGAGCAGCAGTTGTGGTGGGAGCAGCTGTCGTGCTTGGAGCAACTGTTGTTGTAGTAGGAGCAGCTGTTGTCGTAGTGGGAGCAGCAGTTGTTGTTGTGGGAGCAGCTGTTGTGGTCGGAGCAGCAGTTGTTGTGGTAGGAGCAGCTGTTGTTGTGCTGGGAGTAGCTGTTGTAGTGGTAGGAACAGCAGTTGTTGTGGTGGGAGCAAATGTTGTTGTGGTTGGAACAGCTGTTGTGGTTGGAGCAGCTGTTGTTGTGGTGGGAGTAGCTGTTGTAGTGGTAGGAACAGCAGTTGTTGTGGTGGGAGCAGATGTTGTTGTGGTTGGAACAGCTGTTGTGGTTGGAGCAGCTGTTGTTGTGGTGGGAGCAGCTGTTGTTGTGGTAGGAGCAGCAGTTGTGGTGGGAGCCGCTGTTGTGGTTGGAGCAGCTGTTGTTGTGGTGGTAGCAGCTGTTGTGGTGGGAGCAGCAGTTGTTGTGGTAGGAGCAGCTGTTGTTGTGGTAGGAGCAGCAGTTGTTGTGGTAGGAGGAGCAGTTGTTGTGGTGGGAGCAGCTGTTGTGGTGGGAGCCGCTGTTGTTGTGGTGGGAGCCGCTGTTGTTGTGGTAGGAGCAGCTGTTGTTGTGGTAGGAGCAGCAGTCGTTGTGGTAGGAGCAGCAGTTGTTGTGGTGGAAGCAGCTGTTGTGGTGGGAGCCGCTGTTGTTGTGGTAGGAGCAGCTGTTGTTGTGGTAGGAGCAGAAGTTGTTGTGGTAGGAGCAGCAGTTGTTGTGGTGGGAGCAGCTGTTGTGGTGGGAGCTGCTGTTGTTGTGGTAGGAGCAGCTGTTGTTGTGGTAGGAGCAGCTGTTGTTGTGGTAGGGGCAGCTGTTGTTGTGGTGGGAGCAGCTGTTGTTGTAGGAGCAGCTGTTGTGGTTGGAGCAGATGTTGTTGTGGTGGGAGCCGCTGTTGTCGTGGTGGGAGCAGCTGTTGTGGTTGGAGCAGATGTTGTTGTGGTTGGACCAGCTGTTGTTGTGGTGGGAGCTGCTGTTGTCGTGGTGGGAGCTGCTGTTGTTGTGGTGGGAGCAGCAGTTGTTGTGGTAGGAGCAGTTGTGGTGGTAGGAGCAGCTGTTGTGGTGGGAGCTGCTGTTGTTGTAGTAGGAGCAGATGTTGTAGTTGGAGCAGCAGTTGTTGTGGTGGGAGCAGCTGTTGTTGTGGTAGGAGCAGCAGTTGTGGTGGGAGCTGCTGTTGTTGTAGTAGGAGCAGATGTTGTAGTTGGAGCAGCAGTTGTTGTGGTGGGAGCAGCTGTTGTTGTGTTAGGAGCAGCAGTTGTTGTGGTAGGAGCAGCAGTTGTTGTGGTAGGGGCAGCTGTTGTAGTGGTAGGAGCAGCTGTTGTTGTGGTGGGAGCAGCTGTTGTTGTGGTGGGAGCCGCTGTTGTTGTGGTGGGAGCAGCTGTTGTTGTGGTGGGAGCTGCAGTTGTTGTTGTCGGAGCAGCAGTTGTTGTGGTGGGAGCCGCTGTTGTTGTGGTAGGAGCAGCTGTTGTTGTAGGAGCAGCTGTTGTTGTGGTGGGAGCAGCTGTTGTGGTTGGAGCAGCTGTTGTTGTGGTGGGAGCAGCTGTTGTTGTGGTGGGAGCAGCTGTTGTGGTAGGAGCAGTTGTTGTGGTGGGAGCAGCCGTTGTTGTGGTGGGAGCAGCTGTTGTTGTGGTGGGAGCAGCTGTTGTTGTAGGAGCAGCAGTTGTTGTGGTGGGAGCAGATGTTGTTGTGGTGGGAGCAGCTGTTGTTGTGGTAGGATCAGCTGTTGTTGTGGTGGGAGCTGCTGTTGTTGTGGTGGGAGCAGCAGTTGTGGTGGGAGCAGCTGTCGTGCTTGGAGCAACTGTTGTTGTAGTAGGAGCAGCTGTTGTCGTAGTGGGAGCAGCAGTTATTGTTGTGGGAGCAGCTGTTGTGGTCGGAGCAGCAGTTGTTGTGGTAGGAGCAGCTGTTGTTGTGCTGGGAGTAGCTGTTGTAGTGGTAGGAACAGCAGTTGTTGTGGTGGGAGCAAATGTTGTTGTGGTTGGAACAGCTGTTGTGGTTGGAGCAGCTGTTGTTGTGGTGGGAGTAGCTGTTGTAGTGGTAGGAACAGCAGTTGTTGTGGTGGGAGCAGATGTTGTTGTGGTTGGAACAGCTGTTGTGGTTGGAGCAGCTGTTGTTGTGGTGGGAGCAGCTGTTGTTGTGGTAGGAGCAGCAGTTGTGGTGGGAGCCGCTGTTGTGGTTGGAGCAGCTGTTGTTGTGGTGGTAGCAGCTGTTGTGGTGGGAGCAGCAGTTGTTGTGGTAGGAGCAGCTGTTGTTGTGGTAGGAGCAGCAGTTGTTGTGGTAGGTGGAGCAGTTGTTGTGGTGGGAGCAGCTCTTGTGGTGGGAGCCGCTGTTGTTGTGGTGGGAGCCGCTTTTGTTGTGGTAGGAGCAGCTGTTGTTGTGGTAGGAGCAGCAGTCGTTGTGGTAGGAGCAGCAGTTGTTGTGGTGGAAGCAGCTGTTGTGGTGGGAGCCGCTGTTGTTGTGGTAGGAGCAGCTGTTGTTGTGGTAGGAGCAGAAGTTGTTGTGGTAGGAGCAGCAGTTGTTGTGGTGGGAGCAGCTGTTGTGGTGGGAGCTGCTGTTGTTGTGGTAGGAGCAGCTGTTGTTGTGGTAGGAGCAGTTGTTGTGGTGGGAGCAGCCGTTGTTGTGGTGGGAGCAGCTGTTGTTGTGGTGGGAGCAGCTGTTGTTGTGGTGGGAGCAGCTGTTGTTGTAGTAGGAGCAGATGTTGTAGTTGGAGCAGCAGTTGTTGTGGTGGGAGCAGCTGTTGTTGTGGTAGGAGCAGCAGTTGTTGTGGTAGGAGCAGCAGTTGTTGTGGTGGGAGCAGCTGTTGTCGTGGTGGGAGCAGCAGTTGTTGTGGTGGGAGCAGCTGTTGTTGTGGTGGGAGCAGCTGTTGTAGTTGGAGCAGCTGTTGTTGTGGTTGGAGCAGCAGTTGTTATGGTGATAGCAGCTGTTGTGGTAGGAGCAGCTGTTGTGGTGGGAGCTGCTGTTGTTGTAGTAGGAGCAGATGTTGTAGTTGGAGCAGCAGTTGTTGTGGTGGGAGCAGCAGCTGTTGTGGTAGGAGCAGCTGTTGTGGTGGGAGCTGCTGTTGTTGTAGTAGGAGCAGATGTTGTAGTTGGAGCAGCTGTTGTTGTGGTAGGAGCAGCAGTTGTTGTGGTAGGAGCAGCAGTTGTTGTGGTGGGAGCAGCTGTTGTTGTGGTAGGAGCAGTTGTTGTTGTGGTGGGAGCAGCCGTTGTTGTGGTGGGAGCAGCTGTTGTTGTGGTGGGAGCAGCTATTGTTGTGGTGGGAGCAGCTGTTGTTGTAGTAGGAGCAGATGTTGTAGTTGGAGCAGCAGTTGTTGTGGTGGGAGCAGCTGTTGTTGTGGTAGGAGCAGCAGTTGTTGTGGTAGGAGCAGCAGTTGTTGTGGTAGGAGCAGCAGTTGTTGTGGTGGGAGCAGCTGTTGTCGTGGTGGGAGCAGCAGTTTTTGTGGTGGGAGCAGCTGTTGTGGTGGGAGCCGCTGTTGATGTGGTGGGAGCAGCTGTTGTTGTGGTGGGAGCTGCAGTTGTTGTTGTCGGAGCAGCAGTTGTTGTGGTGGGAGCCGCTGTTGTTGTGGTAGCAGCAGCTGTTGTTGTAGTGGGAGCAGCTGTTGTTGTAGTGGGAGCAGCAGTTGTTGTAGTGGGAGCAGCTGTTGTTGTGGTAGGAGCAGTTGTTGTGGTGGGAGCAGCCGTTGTTGTGGTGGGAGCAGCTGTTGTTGTGGTGGGAGCAGCTGTTGTTGTGGTGGGAGCAGCTGTTGTTGTAGTAGGAGCAGATGTTGTAGTTGGAGCAGCAGTTGTTGTGGTGGGAGCAGCTGTTGTTGTGGTAGGAGCAGCAGTTGTTGTGGTAGGAGCAGCAGTTGTTGTGGTGGGAGCAGCTGTTGTTGTGGTGGGAGCAGCAGTTGTTGTGGTGGGAGCAGCTGTTGTTGTGGTGGGAGCAGCTGTTGTAGTTGGAGCAGCTGTTGTTGTGGTTGGAGCAGCAGTTGTTATGGTGATAGCAGCTGTTGTGGTAGGAGCAGCTGTTGTGGTGGGAGCAGCTGTTGTTGTAGTAGGAGCAGCTGTTGTAGTTGGAGCAGCAGTTGTTGTGGTGGGAGCAGCAGCTGTTGTGGTAGGAGCAGCTGTTGTGGTGGGAGCTGCTGTTGTTGTAGTAGGAGCAGCTGTTGTAGTTGGAGCAGC